TTTATTGGCATAAACTGTCTTTTTATAATCTATTTCCTGGAAGGTGAGAGGCAGAAATTTCTGGCAGATGCATCATATGCAAAGGACTGGGGGTTAAAGGAAGTGTAGCATTTGGAGTACTCAGATCTAATGATTAGGAAAGAATGACAACCACATAAACTACTATCTTTGCTCTCAAAGAGCTCTTCATCTTCTACATTGAGATAATGCAGATTCCAAGGGAAAAAATAAGAGACCAAATTCATGTCAAGTATTATGTGGTAGATTTCAGATTATATAAGGGAAATGCAAATTAACAGAGGTTTAGTTAATATTTAAAAATTTTTTTGAATATGGTTGTTTTATGCATTTCCAGATTGAATGTATACCCTGCAAAAAAGTAAATAATGTCAGCCTGACTCTCAAGGACATTTGGCCTAAATGCGCACATTTCAAAGCATGCAGCTCTATGTGCATTGGACTCTGGCTTATTTCCCTTTTGGACAATGGTTTATTTAATTTCTCAAGATATGTCTTTCTCTTTTGAACACTAAACTAATAGTCTTCTGAAAAATAAAATTCCAAACAATTTTACATGTATCTTGGCTGAATATCAATTAGATTATCACCAAATATTCTTTGTGTGATACTGTATAACATTTGTGTAGACAAAAATATTGGTGTTTTGGAAATGAACAATAGTTACTGAACTATGACAATATGAGAGACTAGTGACCTAATTGGTAATGTGCATTTATCCATACTTGCTAGTTGAAAGGAAATGATCCACTTTACAAAAATAATTCAGTCTTGGTATTCTGAACATTGAGTCTCCAGTGTGTGTGTGTGTGTGTGTGTGTGTGTGTGTGTGTGTGTGTGTAGGATTAAAATTAAAGTAGAAAGGTTAAAATTTTTGTTTAATTGTGGTACTATTAGTCATAAGAGGCTAAGCTTAATAGTCTTGTTTTTGCTATGAAATATGATCAGGTTCAAGAATATCCCTGAGCTTTATTACTCCATAAAGGTAGACATGAGTATAGTCTTCATTACTGGGTTCCATGAAGGAGCATTAATGTGGTCAGAACTATATCAACAAAGAAGGTGATTAGAATTGTGGAGACTTTTTTTTTTTTTTGCAAAGTAGATGCTGTTAAATAGGGAAGGCTGTTCCCAGACAGATATTAGGAAGCCACCAACTCCCAATGTTTAAAAAACCCTTAATCTGGGATAAACAATAATTGGACAATAAAAACAAAGATAATTTCAAAACAAATACTAGATGACTTTACTACTCATTGACTCCCACTGAAATAATTATTAATTAACTTTGGTGGTACTGAAGATTGTGCTTCAGGCCTTTGCATTCCCCAGTACTTCTAATTTTAATTTAATTTTATTTTCTTTAAATTTTGAAACAGTTTCCTAGACTGGGTTTCAAACTGTGATCCTCCTGCCTCAGCCTCCCAGAGTGCTGGGCTTATAGGCACGTGCTACCGTGCCAGGATTCCCACTGAAATAACTCTTAATGAATGTACTCAGGGAGAAGAAATAGTAGGAAGATGAGGAATAGAAGCTGAGGAATAGAAGCTGGAAGGGGTACATGGTTAAAGGCCAGTGTGTCAGCGTTCTGCCACTGTGACACACACCTGAGATCATTGGTTTAAAAAGAAGAAAGGTATATTTGGTTCTTGGTTTCAGAATTTTCAGTGACCGTCACTTGGGCCTGTTGTCTGGTAGCACAGAATGTCATGTGGCAGTGGACACCTCTTCACCTCATAGTGGCCAGGAAGCAAAGGAAGAAAAAGAAGAGGGGCCAGAGTCCCAATATCCCCTTCAAGGGTATAACTTCCTGAAGTGACGTCCAATTGACCCCACCTTCTAAAGTTCTTCCACCTACCAACACTGCCACAAGCTGGCAAGTAAGCCTTCAACACAGCGCTTTGGGAGGTATTCTGGTCCAGCTACAGCAGCCAACTATCTGGGACTTTAACTTGATCTGCACAGCAAAGGCTGTTGCGTGTATGTATGTATGTATGTATTTATTTTACACATGCACTTTTGTGCTGAGTTATATCCTCAGGCTTTTAAAATTTTGAGACAGGCTCTTGTTAGGTTGCTACATTATCCAGGCTGGGCTTGAACTTGCTGCCTACCTGTCTCAGCTGCCCAGGGGCACTCAGCTTCCCAAAGGCAATCACCATCATACCCTGCCCTTGGATGTACTGAAATGTGAGTCAGTCCTGCTGCTTGCTGCATAACAGACACTCACAAGATAGGAAGATGCCAGAGTGGTTCAGAAGAAGTAGAGGTAGTTCATGCAGGAAGTGCTGGGGGCAACTCCCAGGCAGTGAAGATGAATGCTGGAAGCGCAGGAGCAGAAATACAGAACTTACAGATGTGGCTCAGGGATGGGTGGTGAGGCTATGATGGCCGCTAGAACTGGAGTCTTCCCTTTGAGTTCTTGGTGGTAGCATTCCCTGGATTTAGAAAAAGAAAAGGTTGAAGCAATTTACCTCTGAAAATACTGAATTTGAGAGGCTTGTGAGACATCTAAGTATGGAAGTGAGCCCCATAAAGCCCTTATCACTTGGTGTATTAGATATTTGAGGTATCTAGATGTCTGTTTCAATCTGGTTATTATAATGATCTCTCCCCCCATCCCAAATCATATTCTTCTAATTGCTAGGGAGGGTCACAGCTTTCTATCTGTGTAGCAAGCCATTCTAGCTTGCTTTTCCATCAACCGCCTGTGAACCACTTTTGGTAGACGCTGCAGACTCTTTACCCATCCAACAAGTCCACTCTCAGATTTTTGTGAAAATTATCCCAATTTGCCTAAAGTGTGAAGAAACCATGTACTAGGAAAGGAAGGTCGTCCCCAGGTTCCTATGGGTGGGCTGTGGTTGTCTTCAGATCCTTTATTGACCAGTAGGACCTACCGGAAAGTCTCCTTGCACTGACTGGTAATGCTCATATCATCTGCAGTATTTGGCTCACAGTTTCACTGTTTATGGTGTCATACAGCGTTTTCAAATGTTGGTGTACTAAAAACATTTTAAAATTACTTTTCATGTTTTATGCCTTGGTTTGGGAATAATCCTTTGCTGTATACTGTTATCAAGCTACTCTATATTTCTTTGTAGAAATGTTAAATTTAAAAACTCACTAGGTTTTAGGACCATCTGAATTTGTATTTTGTGTCGTGCATGAATTGAAAGGTGGTTTTCAAGTCAATACTCAGTCAGCCCAGACCATCATTTTGCACAGGTATTGTTTCTGCACTGTTTTACATCACCACTTCGTCATACGTGACGTGCACAGGTATGTTGTTCTGTTGTAAATATCCTTCATTTAATCATCTGGTCTACCTCAACTTCTTTGCTTTTCCCTTGATGAATGTAATCATTATGTACAGCAAATATGTATTAATGTAAATTGTATATTCTCTTGATTTGCCTATGTAAACCAACACATAGTCTACAAACAATGACAAGATTATTTTTTCCTTTCTAATGCTTTGTCAGTTATTTCTTTTTCATGCTTTATTTTGTTGGTTGGGACCTCTGGCCTGATCTTAAATAAAGCAATGAAAGTAGGCATTCTTGTCTTATTCTTGGATTTTTTTGTTCCCTTTAAAGGAATGCTAATAATTATTTACCACTACATATGATTTGGATAAATTCTACCTATCATCTTAGGGCAGTTCCTCCCCCTACCACAACTTGTTTAGGGTTTTATGTTGTTTTGTTGTTGTTGGTACCCTTCCAGATGTTGAATTTCATCTTTGGGTGTGTTTTCATTTGTTACAGTTATCTTACTGTCTTTCACTGCAATGAGCTTTGAATCATATTTGTCACAGATTTTTTAATATTAGTTTGGGATAGATCATACATTGCCATCATGCATTTATTTAATAGTTTTCTAGAGTTAGGGTGAAAGCTTATAGTCTTTATTTTGGATTTTTTGATATATATATATGTATCAAAAAATTGATTTTA